GCAACTCTCCACCCCAACACGATCAAACAGGCCGCCTCCCATATCTGCTGCATTCTGGCCTGAGACCGCGGGATGCCCTCCAATCAGTGGCCAGAGACCGCGGGATGCCCTCCAATCAGTGGCCAGAGACCGCGGGATGCCCTCCAATCAGTGGCCAGAGACCGCGGGATGCCCTCCAATCAGTGGCCAGAGACGGCGGGATGCCCTCCCCTCCTCTCTGACTCATGCCAATAGAATCATCATCTGTCTACAGACAACCTCGGGTCTTGTCCCTCTACATGTAACATTTCCTGGGCTGATTGCGTAATTGTTTGTATTCATTCCATGAAATGGGAACCAATAAATAGTCCCAGCCACTTCCCTTCTATTCCCAGCCGCTTCCCTTCGATTCCCAGCCGCTTCCCTTCTATTCCCAGCCGCTTCCCTTCTATTCCCAGCCGCTTCCCTTCTATTCCCAGCCGCTTCCCTTCTATTCCCAGCCACTTCCCTTCTATTCCCAGCCACTTCCCTTCTACATGTACTTCAGTGACGGCTGCACGGCGGGTTTCCTGATGGCGACAACAGTGGACCGTGTCTGTGCGATGAAAGAGCCACTTGTAGAGATACCGACAGCCCATGTGGCAGAGTGACAACGCAGGAGGACAATTAATAAAGGAGGGCAGAGTGTTGTCACCTTATGCCAGGATCACCGGGATGATCAGAATACAAGCTTGTGAAATATAATTTTAGCATCCGGCTTTCGGGAATTCTCCACAAACAGGAGAAAAGTTTCTATAAATCATATGACTGAATTATTCTCAGAACCCAAAACAGGGAAATTCCTTCTATTCCTTCCCTTATACTGACACTGCCCGGGAGGAGGAGAACATCAAAGGGGGTAACACACACATAGAAGAGAGCATACAGCTCCTCGGGGGCGGGGCAGTGCTGACCTAGAGAGAACTTACCCTCGGGGGCGGGGCAGTACTGACCTAGAGAGAACTAACCCTCGGGGGCGGGGCAGTACTGACCCAGAGAGAACTTACCCTCGGGGGCGGGGCAGTACTGACCCAGAGAGAACTTACCCTCGGGGGCGGGGCAGTACTGACCCAGAGAGAACTAACCCTCAGGGGCGGGGGCGGACTGACACAG